ATACATATTATACTTTTTGAATAGTAATCCTGTATTCTAAAACGAGAAATTAATAAGTAAAAGGACATCGTTCTACATTTTCAAAGTATCTTAAATAGTTAACTCTGTATAGACATCTGGACTCTCATGTCTGCTAAGTCTTTAGTCTGTTACCACTATGTTGCTTTGCTAAATTATAAAAGAGAGTCTGGTCTCACAAAAATAGCGATTGAAAAGGTAAGCACTTCGCAGATACCCCAAAAGGCTTTTGGGGACCACCGGCATTCTGAACCTAATACTTAGCCTAATCAGCATTGCATCTCATTTTTCAAGTCTCAGTGGTAAGTTCTGACATGGGCCCTTTAAAAAATCAGAGCCATTTCCTGAAAATGGTGGAGGAGGAAAGCCGGCGCCTGTCTGTACACTACTTATTTGTGAGGCAATATAGGATCTGGAGCAGTTTCGGCCTTATCAATGTGGGAAGAACATGTGCCTGAAAAGTGAACCAAGATACAGCAGAGAGGGGAATTAAGAAAAAGAGAGAAACTGGCTCCTCTTTCATCAGCTGAGTTCTGACAAGCTGCTCATTAAGTCATAACAGTCCCTTATTGCTTTAGATGGTTTAACCATACTTTCGGGTTCTTAGCACATCAAAGAGACAATGGATTTCATGATGTTCAAAACAGGAAAAAAGATTATCACGAATATGAGATTAGAAAGTCATGGGGTGCCATTTATTCATTTTCTTGTGGGCAGCATTTTAAAATAGGTCTCCTTGAGAAATTTACTTTTGAGCAAAGACTTACAGGGGAGAAGAAGTTAGCCATGTGCATGTAGGTGGGATGGGGCTAGCTTGGAAGAACTGTGCCTCGCATTATTAAGGAACAGAAAAGAGTTCGGGAAACTATGGCAGAGAGGGAGAACAATAGGCAGTCTGTTTTGAAACATAAGTGCATATGAGGACAAGTTGTGTAAGGGATTATGAATTTGTAGGTATACTAGCTTTTACTCAATGAAAGAAAGATACTCTAGAGGGTTCTCAGCAGAGTTGCAAAACCCAAGTTATGCTGTCAAAGGAGCACTTTGGCTGCTTTGGGTAGTGAAGGTGGAAGCAGGGAGCACAGTGACTGCAGTTTGCAGGTCTGCCAGTGGGGGTGTTCTGGCTCAGGCTTGGTGGTAGTGGTGGCCATATTCAGGAATGTGTTGAAGGAAGAAACAGCAGACTCTCCACATAGATTAGCTAGAGTATGTTAAAGAAAGGTGAAAGAATTACTTCAAACTATTTTCTTTTAACTAGAAAAGATGGAGTTAGCTTAAACTGAGTTAGAAATACTGAGGAAGAAACTTCTGGATGAGGGAAGTCGAGAAAAGATGTTTCCATTTGGGATATCAGGCATCCATGTGGAGCTGTAAAACAAATCGGAGGCCTGAGACTAAAGTTCAACCAACAGAGCTAGACTGAAGATTTGGCACTGGATTGGAGTTGATGGTATTATGCCCATTGATCCCACTGTATATCGCCAAGAGATTTTGTGTAGATCAACAAGAAGCCCAATATTGGACCTTAGGGAGATCGAACAAGACTCCAGGGAGAAGAGGGACTGACATAGGAGAGCGACAATGAAAACCCTGTAAGGTAAGGGAGAAGTGTTATCCTAGACACCAAGAGATAGCCTGACTATCTGACTGAGCACACCATGACTGATCTCACCATACTTTTCATCCCTGGTTCTGCCACAGAAACCTCATTCCCAGGCCATCCCAGGTGGAGGGAGTGATCAGCTGTGTTGAATGCTACTGAGAGAGAATGGAAAAGTGACGCACACAGAGGCTGTGGGTGGGGTAATTTTCTTATTCCAAATGTCAGAGACCTCCCTCTAATGACCCAAAATGTTGGAGGACAGGAGTCTGGGAAGTGGCTTGCAGAAAAATTCCAAATTCTTTGCCTAGAAAAGATAGTCTTGTCCAGAAGGTGAAAGAAAAGAGGGTCCACACTAGAGTCACATTTTCAGTCCCAGAAGAAGGAATGAGAAGGACTAGGGCATCTACATTTCACTTTCCCTGAAATGCTGGTCCCCCTTTCCCTTTACCCCAGACCCTACTCTCTTCACATTGGCTGTGTTTGTCTCCATCTCTCTGCACTCTTCTGCAGACTCATCTGACTAACTCAGCTGTTTGCCTTCCCTCTCAAGTGTCCATCTCTAGCACCGACCTTCTCTCTCATCCCACTGTTCGGGTCCTCCCATTCTCCTGAACCTCTACAGATTACACATTGTATTAGTTTCCTGGAGCTACTATAAAGAAATACCATAGACTGGGTGACTAAAACAAGGGAAATTAATTTTCTCACAATTCTAGCCAACAGAAATCCAAATCAAGGTATCAGCAAGTGTGGGTTTCTTCTGAGGCCTTGTCCATGACTTGTAGACAGTTGCCTTCTCACTGTGTCCTCGCACAGTCATTCCTCTATGCATGTTTCATCCGGTATCTTTCGGTGTGTCCACATCTCTACAGACTAGATTAGGGCCTGGCCTAACAGCCTCGTTTTTGCTTAATTACCTCTTTAAACCCCATCTTCAAACATAGTCACTGGCTGGGCTCAGTGGCTCAGACTGTAATCCCGCGCTTTCGGAGGCCGAAGTGAGTGAATTGCCTGAGCCCACAGGTTCAAGACCTGCCTGGGCAACTTGGCGAGATCTCATCTCTACAATAAATCAAAAAAAGTAGCCAGGTATGGTAGCGCACGCCTGTAGTTCCAGCTATTTGGAAGGCTGAGGCAGAATGATCACTGGAGCCCAGCAGGTCGAGGCTGCGGTGGCCGGGAGCGGCCACTGCACTCCAGTCTGGGTGACAGAGTGAGAAAAAAAAAAAAAAAAAA